TAGAATAAATTAGAGTCACTTTTGCATTATGAAACTTGGTAGCATCAAAAACAAATAAGCATCAAAAATTATATTGGCGAGGCTTCTACCTGTGTTTTGATGCAGAAACCTTAAAAAGATTTTGCATTTGGATTGTACTTGAGTGAAAGATTTTCTTTATCAGTCATATAATCTTTTGGAATATACTCCTGATATGCTTGCCTAAATAGGTAAGCCTGAAGATATTTAAAACTTATAAGTGAGTCTCTTGTAAGTTCTTTTTTCAACACTTCTATTTAAATGTGTGTGAAGATTGTTAACTTTGATTTGTGTTCGATTTAAGCAAGCTCTCTAAGCTTGTTAAATAAAGATTTCATAGTTATTCAACTTATGGTTCTTTAACCCGCAAGCGCGTGCTCCAAAATTACCAACACGAGAAGACGCGCTGGGTATGTCATACCTGAAAGCAATTAACACCTTTTAAATTACATTAATAATATAAATATGGGTATAAATGTGGATTAACATAAAAAACAATGAGCTTTAGAATATTTTAAAGAATATAATAAACGAAGTACTTAACATACAATTATTTTGCACATCTCTGGCAGACTGAACACATATGCTCTATACAAATACTGATATTTCATTTCTCGCACAGAAACCGTGTCTTTCCTGTCCTTGATTTTAGGGCACTCAGGATCTTCTGTAAATGTTTTTTCATCTTTTGGATGGTGTTTCCATGTTGCAATCTTCTGAAATTCTTTTTTCTTTTAGTTTCCGGGAGTATGATTGCTGCCGTCGTTGATTTGAGTAATCTTTCCACTTTCGAATACCCAGTATTTCCTAATTTTAAAGATGATGCTTAGACTAGTCCTACATTCGTTCGAATTTGTTTCTTCCATACCAGCCATTTTTACCAACATAATTTCAATTTCATTGATTTCTAATTCACTATCTAATTCAGTGTCTGTATCACTGTCTGTTGATGAATTATAATTGCTGTTGTGTTCTTCATCTATTAATTCATTCTCCTCTTCCCTAAACATTTCATCATCTGTTGAAATGGCTTCTAGCATATTTCTCAACCTTTTCTATTTCTTTATCATAACTTAGATGCTGCGCCATGCTGACTAACTAAGAAAGGGAGGGTGAAAATCTGAGAGATGCGACAAGGCGTGTGGGTGTCACATACTCAAACGGTACAATTCCTAGAAAAGTATACGAAGAATACTCCACAGATTTCCCAGCTTCATGAATGTGACCTTGAATTCAGCTACAAAAGGTTTCGTCCATTTTCAGGAAAAGGGTTTTGAGATAAGAGCCAAAAAATATGCCCCCCCCCGGGTATGAGATACACGGTGCGCATACTCACAGGTTAATAAAACTGTGCTAAGTAGAGGGCAGTGCACCTAAACACCTTAGCTGTGTTAAATGCATGACATCAGTAATCAACTTCAGTCCGTATTTGTGTGAGCATGTCTGCAGAAATTACTCTCCTGGTTTTAGTTATTTTTTGACTCTTCTGATCAGGTTACTGAATTTTTTTTGGATTACATATGACATGTAAACCCAATTCCTTCCAAAAAATTGTGTTTAGCTGCCAAATCAAAATGAATGGTGATGAAGCCATAGAATTCTTTATAATTCTTTGTCTGTGTAAATGCTAAGTTCTGTAACATATCTAAGTATGTCATGTCCAGTTTTCTCCTTAAAGAGAAATAAATTCAATAATGCAGTCATACATGATTCTGTATCGAATATTCATTGTCAGATTTTATCGATAAACTCCATCAGTTAATGCTGTGTAAAGAGGGAAGGGAAACAGTTTTCGTCATTAAATAAGGGCTGTAGCAATCTAAGCAAACTCTAAAGACCATTAAACAAGAATCAATGATTTGATTGTTCCTCCCTGCCAAAAAAATGTTTCAGTAAATAGAAATATGCATAAAGTGCTTTGAATAAAAATGTTCTCTGTCAAAGAGATTGAGTAAATATTTTAGTTTTACTTGCTTTCATTAGATATATCTTAGAAATTTTTTTAATGAACTTCATTTCATCCTCATGCATGAGCTTATTTTAAAGAAATTTTATAGGTTAATGTTTATCATAATTTTCTTTTTTGAATTTTTCAATAATTTTTATTATAAATAAGGGAATTTTCCTATATTTTTTTATTTAATTCAACTTTGACTCCACTTATCAAAATAGTGAAATTTTCATTTCTTCCTTTTTGTAGTATAAGAAACTAAATATATTGACTCTGTTGCTTTCTAATTTTGGTATGCCTGCTGTGTGGTAATTGAGAAATGCATTCTAAAATTTGTTGTAAATGGAGACATAATATGTTAATGCATGGTTGGGATTGGATTCAGAAATGTAAGTATATATGCACGTGTCAATGTATGTATGTGCATATATGGGTATAAACACATTTACATATGTACACTGCACAAAAAAGGGGGGGACAGCTCTATATCTCCCATTCTACTTTTTTGGGGGGGGTCAGCTTCTTGGTTTTTACAGTCTTTATTATTGTGAATTTTAAATTAATCAAGCACGTGCAGTACAAAGTCCGCGATCCGAACTCTTTGGGACTTCGGCAATCCCGGGTTTGGGATTTTTCCCGATATTAGATCATTTTAAATCTACTAAGATGGCTTGTAGAAATTATAAAATTAAAAATATGAAATAGTGATTTATGAAATAATGAAGCATGGTATCAAAATTTACCAAAAAAAAAAAAAAAAAAAAAAAAAGAGCTTAATATTTATATGTTAATTTATTAAACATTTCTTTCAACATAAGTTGTTTAAGTTGATTCGTTTTTTGGGCTAATACTTTCTACAGTACAACTTCTTTAATCCGGACACGTCGGGACTTCGGATTAGAGGTTTTTCCAGATTATAGATCATCAATTTAAATCTGGTGGCATGCAGAATTTATAAAATTAAAAATATGAAACCGTAATTTATGAAGTAAAGAGCAATTATGATCTAAAGGGTATCAAAATTTACAAAAAAAAAAAAAAAAAAAAAAAAAAAAAAAGCTTAATATTTATTTGTTTACTTTATTAAACATTTCTTTTTGTGTAAGTTGTGAAAGTTGCTTCGTTTTATGTGCTAATACTTTCTCTTTAATTCTATAAACAGATGTAATTTCTTGTTCAGTTACAAAGTTCTGCTGTTCAAGTCCCGTAATTGCTGTGCCGAGAATACCAACTAACTTGTCAATCGAAGTTTTTTTGTTTTCGCTAACTTCTTTGTCACTTTCTTCATGCCTTTATCCATTTTTTTTTTTTTTTGCAGCAATTCCACTTTTTGTTTGATGGACATTGAAACATGCTTTTGCTTTGTAGATGCTTTGGCAACTCCAGAATCGGAAACTCTATTTGACATAATTGAAAGTTCAAGCTTACTTTTTATAAAATTGCTCTAACAGTCTGCAAAAAATAATAAGCCGGATCCAATTAGGAGATTAATGAACAACGCAATCTGCAACATTAAGTGAAATAGATAATTAGATAATTTTAGCCTAATTTATACCGTTCGTTATACATTAAATGCGCATGCATAAACGTATGCGCGTTTTCTGCGTAAATGCATACGCATGCGCTGAAAGTTTGTAGTTTTGAGGTCCGGATTATAGATCATTCCGGATTTTGGACATCCGGATTAAAGACTTTGTACTGTATTTAATTCTATAGACATATAATTTCTTGTTCAGTTACCAAGTTCCATTGTTTAAGTCCTGTAATTGCTGTGAGAATTCCGACTAACTTGCCAATAAAAATTATTTTTCAAAAACCTCTCTGTCACTTTCTTAACTATCGGTAGCAATATTTTCTGGATCTAGAACCATACAACAGATTTTGCCGTCTGTTAATTGATTAAGGATTGGGGCATTGTCATCACAGTGAGAAATCTCTGTTAACTTTTCTTTCCTAATTCTGCTGCCCAGTGCAGCCATGCGAGCTCTGATGCTGGTTCTGGCTTTATGTGAATAACAAATCAGTTATTCTAAATTCAAATAGCACGAAATATAATCTTTTGGCTTATGTGTGTCATTAACAAAATCTATTTAAAGCATATAGAAAGAAATTTTTGTTAAATCTATCCTCGTCAACATTTATTTAGCTTAAATCTGTAATAGGTTAATCTTTGTTATTCAATTATTAATATAAAAAAATGTTTAGGCATCACTGCATGAAACATCACTCAAGTTGTGTGTTGATGGAAACAAACTATAATAAATAATAATTAGCCAGGTTGGCATGGAGGATATTAAAATATTAGTTGGTGTAAAATCAACAATGTTTCTGTGTAGAATGTTTCGGTTTGAGATGTAGTGCCAAACAGATGCGCAGTTATAGAGTCAAATTATTGATCACACAAATTTATGCTAAAATAATTATTTCTTTAATAATGAATTTATTTAGTGCCGAAGTGAGAATCGTGGCTCTACGCATGTTTTATTATAAGGAGGGCAGGGACATAAAACGCGCATGCGTAAAGCCATACCCCCCCGGAAAAAAAAAAAAAAAAAGAATTGGTTTGTGGTGGCTTTGAGGTCCAAATTTTAGATCATTCCGGATATTAGATGTCCAGATTTCGGACTTGGTACTCTCTATGGATTGGTCATGATGTAAGATTTTGCAGATTAACTTATATAAATCATGATATAGGATTCTGCATGATTAAAGCCACTTAGTTATGCTAATGATTCAAGTGGGAGAAACTAAAAGCCATTTTTTTCTTCTTTCCTTGTGAAAACAAAGTCTGTTTGCAGTTATATTATTCCATATCATACTATATAATTTGTTTTACTAAAACTTCTGAATTAACTGTTAACAGAAATTGTAAATAAAGCCTTAGTGTTACTCTTATTTATTTTTAAAGGAGTTCAGAAATATACTTATGTATATATTAACTTTGAAAAAATATGTACTATGCTGCATGTGTAACTAAACATTAGATGTATTTAAATATGTTTCATAAAGTGTTTTTCCTTATTTTTTGTAGGCTGTGAAACATGAACTTGATAATGAAATGCAAATCATTTGTAAAAAACTGCCAGATATGCAAGAGAGAACTGGATATAGTACAAATGATGCAAACGCTGCATGTTCTATTTTCAAAAGTCGTGTTCAGTTACATTATGGCTAAAATGTTTCAGACCATTTTTTAAAAAAATAAATTTAAATGTTTTATGAACTGAACTAGAACCAGACATAATATTCTGTTAGATATATCCATATATGCTTATCACAAGATGCAGATTTTAAAAGCATAATCTCTTGTTATTTGAAATATGTTCACATTATTATTTGTCATAATAAAATTGCACATCTGTAACTCTGTTACTTAACTTTTACATTGGGCTGCAATCTTTTTCATATTATTTTATTTTAATGGTTATTTTTGTCAAAGGTTTGCTATGTTTTGCACATGCAGCAGCTTCATAAATATGCATTTACCAAACAGTTGAAATAATAGTGAGATTTTAATGTATTTACTGATTGTAATTCTTTGATATTGAGCACATATGCAATTTTGTATTTTCTCAGTTTTCTGACAGTGCAGATCTGAATAAAGTATTGAAGCTTAAGACAATATATTTCTTTTGTTTGAAAAATACACCACCTTTTGTTTGAGTTACTTTATTTTTAAATTTTAACTTCTAGATTAACTTTATAAACATCAGATTTATTATTAGTCAGGTTTATTATAAAATTGAAATTGTTGCAGTTTTAGAATAGATGTTTATTCAGTAAAATACAGAATAAAAAATTTTTATTTATTAATGGATTACTAATGGATTCAAATTAAAAGAAAAGGAAAAAGTTGCATGAATAATTTAAAAAAAAAATAAAAATTAGAATTCAGTTTGGAAACTTCAGATTACAGTGTAGCATCTTTATAGAATTTATTATTAAAAAGTTTTTAAAATGTAAAGAAAGTTTTAAAGTATTAAAAAATTAAGCATTTTGCTTTTCTTCTTAAATAAAAATAATATCCAATTTTGAAGATTCTTAATAAATGTAAATCTTTACTTTTGTATGAAATTAAAACTCAGCCTAAAAAGAATTGCTGTTACTAAAATTCTGATGTTTGTAGCTGCATTTCTTTTTTGAGTGTGAAATGATATAAACAGAACAAATATAAAAAAGAAAGTGCCAAAGTATGTCTAGTATCACTTATTAAAATAATCACTTCCATTACAAACATAATCTAGTTTATTAGGCATCAAGTTTATATAAACAGTGATTTATGTATTGCAAACTGTGATATCAGCTTTATGGTTCTAGTGTTGTAGTTTCCTGAAACTATCTTTACTGTTGAATAAAAATAAAACTCCACCCCCTTAAAATTGAAAATTTAAAAATTCTGATGTTTGTTTCTGCATTTCTTTTCTGAATGTTAAAATGGTATAGCATAAAAAATGACAAAAATTTTGCATGGTAACTGCCACCTGTTAAAGTCACTTCTGGTCCAAACATATTGTGTTAATTAAATGGTTGAGTTTATTCAAGTGTCATTTGTCTATTACAAATTGTAGTATCAGATTTAAATTTGTTTAGCAAAATAATACCTCACCACTGATTTAATAATTATTATGTAAACTAATAATTAAAAATTAAGTCTAAAATTAAATTATTTAAACCATTCTGAAATTATTAAAAAAATTTTATGAAAATGTTTGCATGATTATGAGCTTGATAGAGTTTTTAGATTTTACAAAGAATTAATCTGTCAATGCTTGTTTCTTCTTAGTCATCAGCAGTGTTTCAGTTATATTCCCAAGATCATAAACCAGCTATTAGCTTTTCTAATTATCACATTTTAATTCAAGTTTTTTAATAAAGGTTGGCATGTTTTTTTTTTTCCCCCATATCACTTTCAGTTTTTGCAGCTCTTTTAATACTTTCTACAATAACATAGCCAGTGTTTTCACTTTTGAATATTATCATCATTTATTCAAATGTATTCTAAAAATGTGTCTTCATAACTTAGCTTAAGGAGACTGACCTCCATGTGTTAACGATAATATATATGACCTTTAGCAAAGATGTCAACTTAGTAATCTTCTTCCAAGTCCTTGCATTTGCATGAGTTTCAATTTTGTTTATCATTTTTTAAATGATAACTATAATATTCATGATCTCCTTTAAATCTTTGCTTTTTTTAAGTTTCAGTTTTGTGTGTTATTTTTATATATCCTTAAATTTTAAAATAAAAAAAAAATTAGTTAATGAAATTATTGTGGGTAGTAACAAGATGCAACGGGTTCATCAATGTCTATTTCTATTGATACTGATATTTCCAGTTAATCCTTATTATGGTTATCAGTTTTTTTAATAATTCCTTTTATAATGGAAAAAGTTTACTTGCGCATGTATTTGCTTTTCTAAAGCAAATAAAGTTGGATGCATTTATACTATTACTAAAACAGCTCCATATATCTTGCAGTGCTGAGTTTAAACTTCAATGCCAGTCTGTTTTCTGAATTCACAAAATCATGTTAAATTATACACATTGAGTTAAAAAAAATCATTCTGTTTTATTGTCAAAATGTGAAGGGAAAAACGTGTATGTGCTGTGGATACACTCATTCATCAATGTTTACGTTGATAAAGTGTTAAGTGTTCCCATACATTTTTTTAAAAATATTCTCTAGGATGTTATATTTTGGATGCAAACTGATGAAGATATCCAGATTTCTTATGGATATTGTATTTATAAAAAAATGTTACTGGAGTTGGTTCCAAATTTTTGGTTAATTTTAATGATTTTCTGGTATGCTTATTCACAAAGTTGTAGTGAATACTAACTCGGTATTTGAAAACATTGAAAAATACCGAAAATGTTTAATTTAATTGTTCTTTGTTTTGAAGCTAAGGATGACAACAATTTGTAAAGTGCAATTTAAAATGGAATCCTAACATTTAAGACTTTTATTTTGAAAAACATGTAAGATCTTATTTTTCTATATTTAACTATTAATTTTAAGATTTCAATAATATAATCAATTAGGTGTTAGATTAATGACTACTTTCTTATATAAGCACACATAAAAGCAAACTGTTACTGCAACTCATTTGCATTGGCATGCAAAATGCAGTTTCTTACATTTCTGCATCTGATGCTTTTATTCAGTTCATTGTATATAACTGTTATAAAATGTATTATTGCTCTGCTTTAATCATTACACAAATAAAAATGATGGAACATTTAAAATTTCATTTTATATTAGAAACTCTCTTGTTCTTTGGTATAATCAAATGTATGAAACTTCTAAGACCTTATGAGAATTATCATTATGTCTTGTAAAATGTCACAGGTAGACTGAGAAACAGTGTAAAGGACCCTTTTGTTTAATTCAAATAAAAGTTAATAGAAGGCACCACTCATGTTTACAAAAAACAGAAAGCATTTATGACTTAAATCAAAGGAAATGAATTTGACTTAAATAAGTAAATGTAATATTAATCCAACAGCTACACAGATAGAGAAACGCACAAGTTGGCTCTTGTATAAGTTGACGTAACAATCCTAATGGCGAGATTAACGCAATGCCGCAGAATACAGCCAATTTCATAAGTGTATTTTAAAGTGCAGATTGCAAATTTGGTGCAACCCTAAGGATGCTCAATAAAGCAGTGAAATTATTTGCATGAATTAGAAGGAAATTTACTGTATCAGGATCTAATGAATTTTCTCGATTTTTTTTAGGAATTTTATCAAAGTTCCTGAGAATGTCTAAATCTGGATTCCACTTACCTTTCATGGCAATGTTGTAATGAATACAGTAAACACAAATACAATAAGGTATACTTTCCAATTAAGGGGACTTTTCAATTCCAGGGAACAATACTTTCCAATTAAAATTAATTTCTGGCTTTTTTTTAAAAAAAGAATGCTTTATTTTACATAAAAGCATTGAAGCAAATATAAAAAGCTCTATACGTTTACTTTGATTGTGCGTAAAATTTACAGGTGAAAATGAATGCATGGAAAACTCCAGTCTCTTATTTAGTACTTCACATCAGACAGCGTTTTGAGTTGGAAGATTATCTGAAAGATAAAAATTTAATATAATTTTTTATGCAGTTTCAACATTCTATAGCAGCTTCCAGCACTTTTTTATTCGTTGATTTTTATAAGAGTGCGGTAATTATCGATTTTAAAGAACAGTATAATACCTTTTAATGCATTGATGAACTTTTATTTAACAAAATTTTAGTGTGAGTAAATTAATTTCTACTTTTCACTTCACTAAAGAAGTTTCCATTTCACTAAATTTGCACTTTCTAGTTTTAACTTTACAAATGCATTCACAGTGAATAAAAAATTGCTGATGTATTGCAGAATTTATAAATCACTTTTTTAAAATAAATATATTTGCCAAAGGAAACAATACTTTTGCAGTTATTACTTTTTAGAGAAAAAATACATTTCATAAACCAAAGAATTCAGTCATTTAAATATTTAGTTTAAAGCTAATGGCATCGTTTTTGGCTAAAACAGAATTTTATAGTGTGTTATAATTGATCCGTTAGATGGTGCTTCAGGCTTCGTGTCTTTCAAATTGTCTTATTGTTTACTTCCTTGTCTTTGGAATATTATTTTATGTACACAGCAGTTGTATTCAAATCTTGTGGCTGTGCAACTCAGCTTGGGACAACAAGATAACATGCTGACCCAAAAGTTAAAAATTCAAGATTTAATTCTAATTGCTCTAAAACTAGAGCAAATATTAAAAATCTTGAATGTGTTTATTTTTTTAAATTTCATACAAACAAACATTAGTGTGAAAACAAGCACAATAAACTGAAAATCAACTTTGTAGTTAAACCAAATATTTAGTTGAAAAATCGACTAGCATTAATCATTTATAAATTAAAATTCCCACATGGTATATAACAAAAAAAAAAAACAAGGGAAAACATTTGATGAGACCAATGAGCCTGTTTCCTGTTTACAAGTGGGGATGTTTCTGACTCTATTTTTCTCAGTTTGAATTTTAAAGGGCTCTATTGCTAATTAGTTTCGAATTCAGATTGTACATAGAGAAACTGGGAAACACCGTTTCACCCATATAAGATGAGGCAGATGGTAACAAGACCTTTACAGCTGACTCGGACAGTTCTGGACATTCCTTCCGAACTTCAAGCTAAAAGTTGCTCAATTCAAGCTGTACGAGAACAAATTTCAATTCTCCATTGGAAAATGATGATAACTGAGCAAGTTTTTCGCTTAAATGAAATGGTATATTTTTAGGTAACGCATACTGAAAGAAATTTCGGATCCATTCAAAGAGAGAAAAATCTTTCGGAAAATAAGTTTTGAATTGATATTTAGGTTTTTCCATGTGAGTACTTTTCCTCTAATTCATCAATGTAAAGAAATTATAGATATCCGTGAGATATTAATAGTGTTTTAATTGTTACTGATAACATTTAAAACTATATCAAATCAGCGTTATTTGGCTATATTAACAATGGTTGTTTACTTTGTTATAACCAAAATCATGGACATATTACATACCGAATTCTAGTTGCCTTCAATGAGCCAGCCTGCGTTGCTATGAATGGGTTGGTGGGCCAACAATTGAAACCACAGCGAGGCTAATATTTTGTAAATTTTTCAAGTTCAAGATTAAAATATCACTAGATCTGATTTAGTAAAATGCTATGAGAAGTAATTAAATCTATAATTACATAATGATCTAATTTTCTTTGTTATAAAAATAATTATAAGTTATTAATCTAATTTTAATCTAAACCAGATTATTCTTAATTCGTTTGTAAAATGAATATTTTATTGAAATTATCGTTATGATTTTCATTACTTCTTCCATAATTTATTTCGGTTTGTAGTTTGAAAATTGTATCTGCACAATAAATAGATTAAGAAACATTAAGGAACAAGTTTCTCCGACAGAGACGGAGAGAAAGAAAATTAGAAGTTGTCATCCAGTTCTATGTAGCAAGATTGTATGGGAAAGCATGTGGACAAGTAGCAACTGTAGGGACGGCAATTAATGGTTTTGCTAAAACAAGAGTTTGGCCCATGAATAAAGATGTGTTTTCCAGACTCATTTTGTTGCAGCAGGGCAATTTGAGACAAATGATGTTCCTGACACAAGCCTAATTGCTTGCACTAGTGGACAGTCACATGATATACACAGAGGTGTAGCTAAGGTTTAAGCGCCCAGGGACACCTAAAGATTTCGCGCCCCTTTCTGTGTTCCAAGAATGGAAAACATTTCATTCTGAAAGGTGTATCATCAATTTGGCGCCCCTTGGATGCTGCGCCCGGGGACGAATGTCCCCCCTTGCCCCACCCTAGCTACATCACTGGATATACAGTTTTCAGGGAGAAAAATTTGTTGCAACCACCAGTGAAACAGAATCAGAAGCCCTTCCAGCTGTTGCATCAACATTGCTGTCAAAAGTTAAAGTTTCTTTGAGTGAAATCTCTTCGAGAAAACTCCCAAACTTCTATGGATCGGGAGAGCCATTAATGTGTTTTATTTTATATGTGTTGGTACGTGCTTCATTGATAATTACAAAGATGTACACAAACTCCGTTTATCTACATTACTCATCTCTGTACTAACAGTCAAAGTCGTTAATCCGGACTCTCGGGCTTGCGATTCCGGATTATAGATCATCAGTTTAAATCTGGTAAGATGGCATGCAGAAATTATAAATTAAAAATATGAAACCGTAATTATGAAATAAGAACAATTATGATCTAAAGGGTATCAAAATTTACAAAAAAAAAGCTTAATATTTATTTGTTTACTTTATTAAACATTTCTTTCAATGTAAGTTGTTTAAGTTGGCTTCGTTTTTTATGTGATAATACTTTCTCTTTAAATTTCTATAAACAGACATAATTTCTTGTTCAGTTACAAAGTTCCACTGTTCAAGTCCTATAATTGCTGTGTCGAGATACCGACTAATTTGTCAATCGAAATTTTTTTCGTTTTCAAAACCTCTGTCACTTTCTTCGCTATCGGAAGCGAATTATAATGAGAGGATTGATTTAATCATATCAAAGATGAGTACATCGAGATGAAATACTACATTTATAAGAATTAAAGCCAAATAAAATAAAAACATCTGCCCTAAGATAAGATAGTGCGACGATCAACTTCCAATTCATTGCAAAAACGCCGCCATTATATATATATTATTTATATTTGTGTGTAAATAACTGAGTATATGTATTAAAACACAAATTAAACAGTATTTATTAATTTAAACTATCCATAATTTATTACAAGATTAATTATTCTACTATCATAATTTATTACTAGTTAAATAATGTTAATATAACAAATGAGGCACACTGTTATTTATATAAGCTCATAGTTCTAAGAATTCATTTAAGGCGGTGAAGAATAAACCAAATGAAGAATAATTCCTTACATATGGACATTTAACAGATAGCAAGGAACAGTATGAGAAAAAATCGTTGAGGTATAATATTATTTAAAGGCTAAAATATATTTAAGCGATCTAGAAAAAAACAGAATCCAGAAGATCCGAGAGGGAAATAGCGCGATGCCCAATTACCCCGAATCCCCAAATTTTCTCTCTCACGAGATTCCTCAAAACAAGATAAGGGGCTTTGTAAGTGGTGACAGACGTGAACTGATAACGTTGCCGTCTGTTTGGAATTGATTCACAAAGGAAGCCACAAGCCAATGGCAATTTCAAGTATTTTTTAATGCTTTAAACTGATGAAAAATTAAGATTTATTGATTTAAAGGCACTTATTTTATAGAAATTTGATTTAGTTTAGATGAAAGAAAGTACTTATCTTAAATTCCAGTCTTTTGAAGTATAAATCCTTACATTGTCCGCTGTTTTTTCTCGTCAACATCGGAGCCGAAATTCATTGGAATGATATAGGTTTTGTAGGGGAAAAATAAACATTTTTCAAAGAAATTTAATTGATAATCACCAAGAAGAAAGGAAAAATTTTCGGTTAAAGATAATAATAGATACAGTTACAGTTACATATATAACAGTTAAAGGCTAAAATTTCATTGCTTCAGTAAATAGACCTATCAATGCCATCGAGGATTCATGGTTCTGTGCTATCTGACTTCAAGGGAGACATGCTTTAATGTCTATCATTGTATAGTGCGGTTTCATAAGAAGTGTGCTGGTATTAGAAAGGGGATAAAATGGTATTATTGCGAAAAATGCAGTTGAACTCATCAAGATCGAATAATTGATGTGGTAATTTTTGTAAGATTTGTAGCCTAATATTAATTGTTAGCCTTAATAGCCTTAATAATTATTTTACGCTATTTGAAAGTTTTCAAGTTATGGCTATTGTTCTTTTTATAGTAACCTAACTATCAATTATCCTCAAATTCTCATTTTCATTAAATTATTTCCATTTAACGAAATTCAATGTTATTTCGTAGATTCTTACATTAGGCTTATTTTATGATTATAAAGACTAAACTCAAATCTAACTCCTGATTCCTTGTGAATAATGCGAACCTATCAGTACGTTTCAATGTATTTTCAGTGGCCTGTGTTGCTTTCTAACCAGTATTGTATATTTACGAATCATACTCGAAATAGTTTTAAACATTTTATTGACTTGTATTAAGATAGTACTATATTAAAAAGAAAATAGCTACTGGTCCATTCATAGAAACTTCCCGGCTCAATGCAGGCGACTGGTTTTTTTATTGGGCCCGCGACACCTATTTTTATTTTTATAATATTTACTGAACATTTCATAATTACAACTTGTATTCCTAAATATGTGTAGCATGGAAAGTAATATTTACATTAACATGTAAAAATCCATGAAATTACCAAATTTGACGATGTAAAGGATCATTTTATAAAAGTGGCTCATCGATAGCAACCTTCTCCAATACGCAATAGTGTTCGATGGGTTAGAAAACGTTTATCTTAGAGAGTAAAGCAGTAATTATCAAAAGTGATATTTATATTACTATAAAAATATTCGGATACTCTCTCAGAGATAGTCATTTGTGGAAGACAGTAGGCGTTCATTCTGTTATAAGAACGCATGTAAATAATTTTTAAATACTATTTAAGTTTATAAAAGGAATATATAAGTATCATTATCTACCTTGCGCTTCTAGTTGGAAGGCTTCTTCTTTCTTCGATTTGTAAGCTAAATATCGCTTGTAAATCCTGTAGGCAATGCATATGACTGTGCATCCACTCATCATTGCAAATCCATATAGCCAAGGAAGTAAAATGATATCTCCTTGCAGCTGTTGGAAGAATTAATATCATTAAATAAAGTATGCTTTATCAATTTATGTGATATTTTCATGGCCTCGTTGCATTTCGAGAACAAAATTCGGCTCTAGAATTGGGTGCCCTTTTGATTGGCGACAAATTTTGATGATGAAACCCCATTTCTGGTTACCATGATAGTTTTAACTTGGTTTTAGCTTCCTGATTTTGTGAAAATAGATCGATGTGTACATGGACAAAGTCAAGGCAGTGTGCAATGCCTAATTTGTGCAATTCTCTGATGTTTTTTGAAGTGAAAATAGATAGATGTGTACATGGACACCGAGTTTGTGCAATTCTTTGACTTCTTATTTTTTTTTTAATGTAGGGGCATCTTGAAATTGCGCCTTCCTGGTACCGATCTTGGCGTCAAAAAAGAATCGCCAGAAAAATAAGGGTAACCCAATTGTAAACTTTTACCCAAAATTCAAATTAATAATCATATTTGTGACCTGGCGCTTTAATAATTTACTCTTAGGAACAGATAAATTCGTAAAAGATATACGTACGTATGTTTTCTTGTAACGCAAATTTTCAGTTAAATAGGATGATAAGTAAAGCCGTTATTAAAATTTTTTGTAAAAGCTGTTAACGTACCTCTTCTTTAAACGATAAGGAGACGATCGTTAGAGCTGTTGGCACATTCTGTATTCCACATTCTATTGCTATAGTTTTCCTCACAGGCATATTTTGCCTGAAGCAGAAAGCCAGCACATATCCTAATGATACTCCCAACATTGGAAGAGACAGCACAACACCGTACAGTTTCCCAGGCACTCCGGTAAACATGTTTGGGAATACAATGACTTCCATGACAATGCAGGCAATTACGATAAGGATACCGGTATAACTTCCAAACTAAAAGAAATACGTACATAAACATATATGAAACAAATTATTTTTTTTTTCAGGATTTCTTTTTTAAACAGTCATAAAGCTATGAAGATAAAAATACAAATAATGAAATCAATTAAATGCAAGTGACCCTATTTAGCATAACGGAGTTTAATGGTATTTTGGCTTTCTCATTCGGAATATAACGATCAAAATGATTAAACTGCGCAGCTAAACGATAAATATGTATATCTTTCTATTTATAATCACTTTTCTGCACAATTTAATCATTTTGATACTTTCCCTTTGAATGAGAGAGAATCTCTAAATTACGTAAATACATATATCTGTCTGTCTATGCAAATTTAAATTTGCTTATGCATATTAAAAGAAATGTTTAATAATGTGAACTTCCAACATTTAGGATCCGGTCTGAATTATAAGATATATAAATATATAGGGTTATTGTTATTTAAAGTAGCCAGTTATTATGTATAAATTCTCTTTTTTTTGTTTTCTCCCGGAAATCTAAATCAGTTGAAGAAGTATTTAAGCTGAGATTTTGGGATTGTGAGAAACAATATGTTTCTGCCTCTGAAGGCCACATTATTTAGTTTTGCCAGCTCTAACAAGATTGTAATTATTCGGCTTTGTATTACAGCTGCGTCGCTTAACTTGCATTTGCCTTATAGGCAGCTAAACGTGATACTACCAGGAAGCCGTCAGCTGAATTATTTCTTGGCAGGAAATTAATTACGCCCATTGATAAACTCTTTTTTGTTCAAAAGAAGTCTGCGGAATTTAAAATAATAGACATTCAGAAGGGAGATGAAGTCTTGAAAATTAAACATCCTCTTTCATGCCTCCTCCCCAAAGGGAAAGTGGGGAAGTTTTGTCTTAAGTTTGAAGACCCGTTTGTGATTGGGGGGAATAAGGAAACTGTAGTGTATTTAAAACCGCAGATGGTGAAACTTCAAACGCCAACTTAGACCAGATAAATCATTATTACGAACAAACTGCTAAGAGATGTTTTACATCGTTTGCTAAGAGATGTTTTACAAGTTGCCTTTGCTAAGAGATGTTTCACAGGATCACCTTGTAGGACCAACGAAGGGCCAACGGTAAAGACAGCAGAATTACCTTCAACTTCGGGAATGCAAGGTCCACAAAGGGAAAAGAAAAAGACTAGAAATGGTGAAAGAGAATAGAAAAGACCAGAATGCGACCAGTCAAAAGGAAAAAAAAAGTCATGGCGAAAAGGAAGCTCAGACAACTGAAAAGAAGGTGTTTCAAGAAGAAAGGAAAGGTACAGGAATTCGGCTGATGTAGCAGAAAAAACGAGTGGTCAGCAACAACTAATGGAAAGTCAACGCGGGAGGAACCAGGTACCAAGAGAAAGTTGCAACTACAAGGAGGAGGTATGGATTAGTAGGAGTTCACGCAGCAAGCGCTCGATGAAGGACGAATCACCGCAATTGAGAAAGTTCAAAAAGAGCCAAACGACACAGCAACAGCCAGTCCAGCCGATGAAGTCCTAGAAAAATTAGTGGAAATTTCCAACTGCGAATCCAAGAGCAAGAAAGCGGCCAGCATCCTCAGAATTTCCCCAAATAGGATGGAAAGTCGATGCGCATACGGGAAAATGCCCAGAGGCGGAAAAATTCAGTGCATACGGAAGAAAAGCAGAGGCTTCGCCAAGAAGGACGAGTTCAACTTACTACGGTGTATCCGTCCCGGGATGAGTTCTTGGACAAATGAATGAAGGATTACTACAGAAGTAAAAGATAAGTGAAATTTATTTTCCTTAACTGTTCAGTTTTAATATATATCTGAAGTACAGAATTTGCAGGTTATTTTGAGTTTTGCCTCAACCGAGGACATTTTAGATTTGCTTACAGCAAGAAGCTTTTAATTTTCTTATGTATTTATCTGAATGATTTTAAGTTCTTAATGCAAGCATATTACTGTAATTTGAGTTCAAAAGTTACAGTTGTTTTGAGAAAATTTTAGCGCATTTGTGGAATAAATTTGAGCAATATCTGTACCTTGTGATTTAAAATGCAAACTGAGTAAACTTTTGAATGCAAATGAGTTGAAATGTTGCGTGAACTATGTATGCTAACATTTATGTAAGCGTAAAAGTATATTCTGTTGAATATTTTGCATAAGTTAAAATTGAGGATGTGTATCTCAATTTTAACTAACACAAATGTCATGGGAGACATTTAAGTATAAGCTAGAAACTGATAAAAGGTTATTTTAGAGTAAAAGCTAGCATCGCGAATGTAGTCACTTGAAAGTTAGGCTTTCCAGCCAACACTAAAGTTTAGTTAAATTTTATGTTTAGCACATTAGGTACCTTCCTGAAGTTAAGGTGATGGTTCAGGTCTAATGTGTCTAAGTGATTAACATGCAGGTTTTCTATCAGGTGATTTTGTTGAAATACCTTGTCCAAGTGTACACGCTCTTAAATACATTGCATTTCTGGAAGTGAAAAATTAATTGTAGAGTAACTGCTAGGCTTAGTTTAAGTTATGATATTTACTGTTATTTTAATTTGCATGGCCACAAGTGGTGGCGAGACTTGTGTTTATGCTTTCTACTCAAGTTCTGATTTTAATAAAACCTTTTGAAGACCATTTCACACACAGCGATAATTCGCTTAAGGTCTGTTAGGACTTTGATGCTAGTTTATGCTCCCAGAGAAAGACAAACTCTATAAATATAAGAATAGAAGCAATAATAATGTAGAAACTTGCGAATAGAAAACAAAATACATGAAAAACGTGGAAGAATTTTAACTGTAAGTTACAGGAGAAAATGGGGGGGGGGGAAACAGACAAATTTTTATTAGTTCGAACAGCAGCTGCATATGCAAGCGAAGCATGCAGCAAAATCAGTCGAATCATCTGTAACTAAATAATTCTTTTGATTTTAACAAGAATTTTGTCCAATTATCGAATAAAAATCCATAAGCGCATTATGAGTACTCTCTGTTACATAAACAATGTAAGTCTTGAAAGTTAACTTTTCATCAAGAGGAATAATACCTCAGAATAATTGCGTATCTTTCGATACTGTTGTATGTTAATGTAAAGTATTGCATCATATTTATCATAAAACGTTATAGAAAACATGGGAAAATTATCATTAATTTTTACTTACTTTAGTGACTAGAGAAGCTATTCTGGGACACTTCCATCGAAGAATCATACCCACACCTACAGGCGTCGTAATAGCTATAAGTGACAAAGCAAGATTTCCATAAGGTAGAACTAAGTCTTCTGTTTCGAAACTTCGACCATAAATCCATATGTTTAAAGGCATCATCCCCATTGCCAACAGAGTTGAAAAAGTGGTCATAGCAACGCTGCATAAGAGTACGATATTCGTTTAGGACAGCATAAATAAAATTTTAAGTTTATAATATTCCAAATTTAGAATTAGCGTGTTTTATTTAATTAAAAAGAAAGGTTTCATCCTTTACAGTATACATGAAACAGCTCATGACCATTAAATGTGCAATAAAATACATTGCTCAAACTGTCATACAGTTATAGTCAAGTGTTACGAAAAGTTGTAAATACTAAACTGTAAAAGTAAATACTGAATCAACAAAATTCTGCTGATGTCCATTTTTTTTACTTCCTTGCGCGAAGTAAGGCAGAGGAAAGAAATAAAAATATTGTATTTGCGAAACATTTCGGGCATCATATTTCGACGGAAATATCCATTTTGACCATTGCCTGATTTATTTGGACGAATTTTTTGCGTGACTTTTGTACGTACGGAGAGAGTAAAGGAACTCTTGTTTGCAAAACAGGTTATAAAATGCGTTTAAAAAGGATTCAGAAAGGTGTTTTTTTTTTTTTTTTTTTTTTTTTTTTTTTTTTTTTTTTTTTTTCCCGTTACGTCTGTACCTACATACGTATGTATGTATGAATTTCACATAACTCAAAAACAGATAACAGCAGAACGTTGAAATTTTGTATATGGGACTGCTGAACGCTGCTCAAGTGGACTGCCGCCCTTAACTATAATGAGCCTTACGGTATTTGTTTCCACTTGGCAGATGCTGTCTAATCATGACTCGCTGATCCGACAGCATTTATTATTTCAAAATCTTAGGTTTCATAATCACTCATTATTTTACATAAGTTTTTAGTATCTATAACTGCCTGGTTGTTAACTCAAGTTCTATTTTAACTACTACGCTGCTAACTATACTACACTACTTTGACATGGGCAATGTTGCTATACTTCCTTTACACTACATACTACTTCAATGTTTTTACACTAGACCACAATACATTTTACGCTGAGTACTATACATTGTAACATATCATATATAAATGCAAGACATAGAAGAATAATTAATGCAAGACATAAATCCTATATAAATGCGAGACATAGTAAACCTGGTTATAAATATAATACGATAATAGATCATTTTCTATCGCACAATTTCGAGTACAATACAATGCCTACTAAACTTTTACACTCTAGTACTATAAGCTACAAAAGTACAAACTCGGCTAGAATTGCATTTTGCATTGGGTACATTACATTGTGATTCTATTATATATATGTACAAAATTTACAAAATATAAAAGCATTAAAGTCGCATAACCTCATACTACTACTTATACAGATATACTGAACAATTACTGTAAATACAGTAGCTCTATATCTTGATTACTATTCACATTGTACTAGTTAGCCATATTATTGCAAAATTAAGAAATAATATACAATGTTAATCAAGCCATACACTGTTATTCATTATTGATGCAGGTACCCAAAGATAATACTATAAATGAAAAATGCTAAGGTTACAATACACTTATCAAAACCATTCCTAGTTAGCAAATACAGTGGAACTACCAACAACATGATAAACATTGATATTTCAAGCATAAAGCATAATCCAATTTATATTCTGTATTCTAGCTTTAAAAAAAAAAAAAAAAAAAAAAAAAAATTTTCTTTTTTGGTAAACAATAGGTCATGCCTCCATCTATGCTGAGTAAATAAATAAATATAATTCTGCCAATGATGGAATAGAAACAATTCAACAATGATACAGTTATATAACTAGTAATTTTTACAATACGTTTTACTGATTCTTTCAGTTATGGGACTTATTAATTGTAGGGTAATCTAAAAGTCACAAAGATGTGTACAATGAAAAATTAAGAATCTATACACCAATGTGGTTAAATCACACAAACATTGAAGAGTTCAAGGTTCTGCAATGGTAATAAAGCTATATACCGTTCATTTTAATGGACGGGTTTCTTTTAGGAATACCTTTCCTACTTATGTAGGGCAATTGGGTCTTCGTTGCAAAGATGATCAGTTTGTGACTCTTAGCCCAGGCTGCAAAGTCGTCGACTGCCTTTTGCGCCTTTTGTACCACGTCTTTCTTGCTAGTAATGACTAGAAGAAAATCATCTGCGAAGGCTTGTATATTCACATTTGGATTATTATCAAACAGAGTAAAGGCTGTGTTAGCCACCAAATTCCATAACGTGGGTCCCAAGCAGGAACCTTGGGGGCATCCTCTTTGCAGTTGGTAATTGATAACCCCTTTATTCGTAGTAACCTGTACTCCTCTATCTTGCAGATAACTTCGCAAGAGCTTGATAATTTCAAAAGGGATTTATGCATTATCCAGGCATTTAATTACGTCTGGCCACCATAACGAATCGAATGCCCCTTTGATATCCATTCCCACTACTATTGTGTATCTGTCATTGTTCCTGCTGGCTTCGATATTCTCCAGAAGGTTCTTAAGTGCCTCCTCCGTAGACTTCCCCTCACAGAAACCAAACTGATTTTTGTTGATGTAATTTTTAATCTTAAGAAAGTAGTTGAGCCGCCCTAAGATGACCTTCTCTAGTACCTTGCTAATGGAAGGGAGAAGACTAACTGGTCTATATGCTCCCGGATCCGATGGATCTTTACCTTGCTTGTGGAACAATGCTACTTCTGCCCACTTCATGGCCCTAGGAAAGTGTCCTATTTTCCAACAAGCCCTACATAACGAAAGAAAAAGTTGAGGGAACTCATGATGAATATATTTGATCATATATATTATCGATGCCATCCGGTCCCGGAGCTTTCTTGTTTACGAGGCCTTTGACTATTCTAGTAATTTCCTGAATGGAAGGGAGCTGATGGTCATGCTTTTTGCTGGTCCAAAGAAAGTTTCGAAAGTTATATCTTGTTTGTCCATGTTCATCAAAGTCATCCCTTACATCATCCTTGGGAAAGATAGTGGTGAGCACTGACAGGAGGACATCTGATATGCTAGAGGCACTTGGTGCAGGTTTTGCGACCAGCTGAGTTGGGCGAAAGACTCTATCTGTTGCGATTTTTTGCACTGGGCATAAGTCTCTTTTAGATTGGAACAATGTTTTTTCCAAGATTCAGTTTTCGCTTTCTGTATGCGCTTTTTGTAGAGAGCACGTTCTTTCCTGTACTTTAAAATTTTTACGGATCTTACTTCTTCTTCTTGTTCTGCCTGTGCCAGCCTCCTCAAGGCCCGTACTTTGCTTCTATGAGCTGTGAGACTGGGATTCCACCAGACAATGGTTTTGTCAACTTGAATGGCTTTCCTTTTGTAGGAAGCACTTGCTGCCTGAGTGATATTCTTTACTAGAGTATCATACGCCTCATCTAGTTGGACTGGTGTGGTACAATTATTTAAATTTTCTTGGTTAATTACGACATACGGCCTGAGCTTTTCTAGAAATTTCTTGTGTCCCCCAAGCAAGTCTTAAATCTTTGTTTTGTTTCGAAAGACACTGAATTTACCAGTTCATACTGGATTATCTGATGGTCACTAAAAGAAGGGAGGTCAGAAACAACCCAGTTGTTCATATACTGTACAATTGGGGAGGATGCTAAAGTTACATCTGGCCAACCTACTGCTCTAGATGTTCTAAAGGTAGGAGGGGAATCCAGTGTTTTTACAACTGTAAATAACATCTAGTCGTGCAGCTGCCGTTTTTATTGCAATTGGCAGTACCAAACACATGTGTGCATACATATATAATAATAATAATGTTTCATTAAAAGCTAGTTAGTAAAGTTAAATAAATTTAAAATTTTATTTTGTTTTTTATTAATGCGATTATAATATTGCATTTATTATATATATATATATATATACTGTAATAATAAAATTCCATACTCAAAAATACACTTAAAATTCTAACTGTATGTTCTTTTCATTTTTTTAATGGCGACGGTCTCTTATATGAAAGTACGTGGAATTAAATCCACAGCCCGTAGTCAAGTTGTTTTTCCCGCCTTTTCTACACGTACAGTTATAGAATGTTCTGGGGATATTTAAAGCGAACTGGAATGGTTGACGAGGCTGACGTCATTTCTTGGAAGCTCCGTCTTTCCAGAGGCTATAAAAAGAGTCGCAAAGGAATATCGGGGTTACATACCCCGTTACACGGCTTCTTACCTTGCCTTTGTTGGGGATAGTCATATACTTCCATCAATAGAAGTGTTTTAAATGATGAAAAATATTCAAGTTTTGACAATGTTAAATTAAGAAAACATTAATTTTAGACTAATAACGAAACCTAACTGCATACATAATAACAGTTTGTATATGTAGTTAGTCTAACAATAAATACCTAACAGAGGAAAAGTAAGTGGAGGAAGACTTGACATATTAAATCGTAAGAAAAACAGTTTATTATGCGTGAATGAAAATCATGGAGATCCTAATATTTACAGTTTGTTTAAAAAAACAATTTATATTTTATATTTTACATTACACCCAAAGTGGCGGTTTTTTTTTAACGTTTTGTGTGTTACATTTATTTATTAAATATCATATTCTTCGCACTTAAACTATAAAATTCAATTCAACAGCAATACCACAAAATAATTAAAAAGAGGCATTTCTTTAGAATTTCCGAAACGCAGTCTCGCGCGTTGGAGATAAATTCCCCCCCCCCGGTTAAGTGTTGCCATTGTTCGCTTTGAAATCGTTGAGTTTGTTAATAAAAAATTCGTTAGTTTAGTTCGTTAGTTTTACAAAATATGAAAAAGATAATAAAACAAATTCCAAATTTGATCTTCCAGATGGCCATATTCGAGTGGAGGACTGCGTTATTCAACATCTGGTGCCTCCAGGTACCGTTTTTTTTTTCCCTCAATGCAAGAAAAATACATACATTCATGTAGGTTCTTCATTATTTAATTTCTTTAAATATAACGCGGGGCTCTAATATTTGGTGGCAACAATTTGAAAAGTGAAACCCCGTTTATAGTGAACTAACGCAAATGCCGAAATGAAATTAATAGCCCTACTGGGAAAATTGCCTCTTTGCGTTAATGTAAAGTTACATTATTTTAAATAAAATGCAGCCAATCCCAAATAGTGAAAGCAATTACACTTGAAAAGCACTCATTTGCGTTTCCTTAGTATCCTTCGCATAATATGAATATGATAATTCCTTAAGATATTCTTGTGTGAAAGCCTGCAGCTGGAAAATAAGTAATCCTGTTATTATTTCGATAAAATAAATAACTCAATTTTGATTAAAATATAAGTATTATCTTTTTGTATTTATTTATTGGCAATTAGCGTAAAAATGATTCGAATATTTTATATGAATTCATTCTGATACTTATCAATAAGTACTTTGAAATATCCCAATTTTAGAAAAAGGAAAGTTTCTTGATTAGAAACAGCAAATAATGACATTATAAAAAGTTTCATACATACTTAAGAATTTGCTGTTAAGCCCAGGAAATCGAAATCTTTGCATGTTTCGGCATGAATTTTATTAATGTATTATTTATATATGTTTGATGATCGAATAAGATGGTATGAGCATTTTTCTCTTAACACTGATACTTAACATTTACTTTCAGTTCCATAGTTTCTGAGAAAAAGATAGAAAATTTTACGGAAGCAATTTTAGCATTAGAGGTTTCTATAAATACATAATCCAATTTTAAATGTAGTCGTCATAAAATAAAAGATCCAATTAATGTAATATTCTTTATGTTTTAAAAAGATAAATGCACGTGGGGCTTTACTTGCAAATCTCGCGAGGATATTACTAAAAACACTGTCGATGTATTAGCTGCAAAAAATTTAGAACGGGTGGTAGTTTATTCAATAGTAGTTAACAGTCAGAACGAGCAGCTTCTGTTTTGAAGACTCTCCCGAAATCCTGCCAAAATTTGATTGAAACCTAATTGGTTTAGCTACTTAAAAGTGATATAAGTTATGGATAGCTGTCCTTATAAATTCGTTCGAGTTTGTCTCTGATAAATTAGTTCTTGAGTTTCTATAAATTTCGTACGTAAAGGTATGATATATTTTTATATTTAGTTATAAAGGGGTAGTAAAAATTTAATTAATTGACTTTTTGTTCAACGAAAAAATTGTAAAAAATTCGATTTCTTATTTGTAGATCACTCCCCTTCACAAAGTTCAAAGTTTTCAAATTTGGCAATCTTTAGAAACACAAATTTAGGATTGCTTTTAATGAAGAAACGTCGGATCGAAATTAAATTCCTATATGAATTTCTGCTCTTTTGTTTTGTTTGGTTTATTACTTATTCTAAACTAACAAACTGTAATTCTCTATCATTTCACTTAAGCTGTTTCTTTCAGAAAAATGTCTCTTCCTCCTAAAATTTCATTAAAGCCGTTTATGTATAAAAATTAGAGTTGAGTAGAACTGATTAGATGATTTTACGGTAAATTTTGGATCTTCTGAGGAATTAACAAATGTGTGCATTAATTCTGAAAACTGACAAATAGTACACCGTAATAGACGCAATTAATTGTAAAGTTAGAATTAAAGTATTCCATCCCCTGATTAAAAATAATGTTAAACTGAAAATTATTGCATAGACTGGGGCTTGCAAAATATCAAGTTTTATCAGTTCAGTACAATTAAATTGCTTTGAAATTTGTTGAGGGACACACTTGCATATCATCGAAATGGTGTATTTTACCTTGTTAAAAATCAGCTATACTACTAACAAAAGGATAAATTTGATGTTATTGTAAACTTGTAAATTGTCCAAAAGGTCATGTTGCATGAGTAATAGCATTTATTTTGTTGCATGGGTAACTACCATAGGGTAATTCGTAATATTTTTCAGAATTTGAATGTTAAATTACCACTACATCATGAATTGAAAATGCTAAACATTAACATGAATGAAATGAAAAATAATTATGGTATTTATATCCTAGTATACATCACATCTATATTCTAAATGAAGTTTGCTACCTCAAGAACAAGACCAATGTTCTGGCCATAACAGAATGGCAAGAGAATTGGAAGAATACGGATGTAGGTCCAGACAACTGTAGATATTTTCCGAAGGTCTCCACCGAAAGCAAGACTAACTACAGCTACGCTACACAGCTATACACAGATCATTGTTCCACCTCTGCATATCTGCACAGATTTGGCAAAAGAGAAACGGACACGTGTTGCTGTAATATTAAGTGCGATCTTATCCATTAATAACTATCGAATCGTCATGTCTACATGACTGGCACATGACGACAAGGCTACAGCTGTCAAAACTATCGACAAGTAATGAACGAAAAGGATGCGAGTTTTTCCAAGGCAATCATGGAGCTGTAAATAGAGCGATACGAGTAATTAAATACATAAATGATAACTCTGATGAGTTGTCAAACCTTTGTAAAGTGAAAGGATCGTTAACGTCAATGGCTATAAAGACTTTAAACACCAGTTCTGTAATAATTGTAATACATTTTAATAACTCTTGTGGGATTCTTCACAGTGTAATGTGTAATGTTGAACGTGAAGAATCTTAACTGATAAGCGAATAATCGCTTGTGACAGGAAACAACAAGATGGAAGGGTAAATAACCCTTTATTATTCAAATAAGATTTAACAGAACTCCGTCTTGGAGTGTACAATAAAAGCCGACACTTGGGCTTGAACTTAAGAGACTAAGAATTAAACTAAAACTAATCTAAACTAAAAGAAATATAGCCGAAGCTATCAAGATTCTACCAGAGTTGGTCCCTTAACGTTAATAGATTGCGAAGCTATCAAGGGCCTAAAGTACTACTGAGTGTAATAATAGCTTACGAGAGAGTAGCCTAAAAAGGCGGACGCGTGCAGACAGGATACCTGGTAACTCTCTCTGTAAAACCGAAGAACTTCGCGGTTAAATACCGCTTACTACGTATTCAGGCGTGATTCTAAAACTATGTTCTGGCCGGAAGTAGTAAGTTGAAGTTAAGAGTCGACAGGAAAGGAACTTAAAAATTAACTGTTAATAAAATTAACATAATTCTTACACTCTAACACCTAATATCACAATTCCGAGTTCTGTTCAAAATTCATATATAAAGAAAAGCTTCAAATTTTGTCTTCCGGAACTACAACTTTTAAAACGTCATTGTAAATATCTATAAAATTCTGTTTTCAAGATTTATAAAATTCCAGTGTCTACAGGTTTCAGTTCCACGTAATGTAGGCATAAATGCATATGCAAACGATTATTGTAATTCTACTGATACACAAAAATAAATGCCCGATTGTCCTGAATGCCAATCCTGCATTTGGGCTGTGGTTGGCTAGGTCGTAGATATCTTCCCACTGGCTCGACACTGGTTAAATTTTTTTTATAGACAGGCCTTCGTTATACAAGAAATGTACTATATCCTGCTATTCAGTTCTGCTCACGTACGCTGTATCGTTGACTGGTCCTTTTGATTAACACTGTAGAGTTCCTCGCCCTTTGTCTATGATGAAACGTTGAGAATCCTAGAGAACTATGTAGCGACTTATCGCTGAGTTCAGAACAACTAAGACGTAATCTGGTTAAATTACCCTTTTACTCACTCAAATAAGAATAACAGTCGGTCCCTTCTCGGGCTTACGGGAAAATCTCTACTCGCGCTTTAACTCAGAAATAAGAAACTAAACTATAATTAACTAAACGAGACTTAGTCGAAGCTAGATACAATTATCTAACGTAGCTGGCCCTTAAATTAAACTAGCCGGCGAAAATCAATAGGCACATATATTACGGCCAAGTGCAACAGCTTGAAGAGTGACTTAACCAAAAGCCAAACACTCGCCGCTAAGGATTCCTAGCACTTTCTATCGAAGTTAGTTAAACCTTCCTTAAATGCTTCTTCTAATTTGCATTCAACGCGATTCTAAAAACTCATTCTGGTAGGGAGTTGCAAGTGAAAACAAGAATTGATAAGAAAGGGTTTTAAAGTTAAAATAACTGTTATAAAATTAAAATATACCTTACAGCATGAATTTTATTAAATTTTGGAATATTGACATAGATCTATCCATTAAAAAGGGTGATTCCTCATCTAGTTCGCTTAAAATTTAATAGACCAGAAACAACTCTTTTACCATGATTATCACTTAAATAAAAGGCAATACTAAAGCGAGTATGAATCAAATCGGATTGCAGTGTTAACATTTATGCTATCGATGACACTGAGAATTGCTAACGCATATTAAAACCTTGAATACTTCTCTTCCTCACATCACATAAGTTATCCTGTAATTTTCCTGTTATGTACATTTAAATTCCGGAAAGTATCGAGACTTGTCTTATTTCTTCATGTGTGCTTATTCATTCCTTTGAACTTTATTTTTTTTATAACTCTTTCATCTTATCGGTATATTTGTTTCCACACTTTATTTTATTTATTTAAAAGGTGCTAATTTCATCTAGAAAGGATTATGTTCTGTTATCATTATCCCAAATTTTGATGGTAGAGAAAGAAAAGAAATTAATCTGAAGAATAACGTATTTTTTATGTATATAAACTGCCGATGACTTGAGCAGTGTATGTGTGGACTTAATCCAATATCCTGAACTTTTATTCAGGGACTGTAGGCGTATTATACTATCGAGAACTACTGTGAAAGAAAACGTACAGAAGCTATGTAAAATACTTGTAATTATACTAATAAAGTGCAAATAAACTACAAAAAGGCAACATACTAACCTGAGAGACAGGTCCCCGTCGCATAGGTAGGTAAATACGTTCGACAGCACACCACCCGGACAGCAGGAAATGATAAGTACTCCCGTGGCATAAAGTCCAGTTACGTTGATGCTTCGCATTAAGGAATATGCAGTTAGAGGCATGATGAAGAACTGACTCACCATCCCAATTCCTATACCGATGGGTTTCAAGATGTGGCTCTTGAGCTGGAAACCATTACGAAAATAATTTGAATACCAAAATATTATAGATAAAAAAGAACTATTACACTGAAAGTTTTATTAATAGTGGCACTGACAATACACATAATAAAAAGTAGGCTTAAAGATACCGGTTTCATTTTCATAGTTGTGTACGTATCGTATTCGGAAACTAAGTACCGTTTCATTCTAGCGCCGTCGCAGCGCTGCGGTAGGCTTCCCGCGCATGCGCACTAGTCTTTCTTGTTCACTGACTTTCAATTGTCGCCATTTTGGTTGCTCTATGTTGTGTTTTCAGTTTGCTGTGCACATTCAAATTGTTTAAGACAATTAGTTCTCCCGTTGATGTGAGATTCGTGCCGTGATTAAATTTTTGAACGCGAGGAATGTTAAACCGGCCGAAATTTATCGTCAAGTGACAGAAGTTTACGGTGAATACGCGATAAGTGATGGAATGGTGAGAAAGTGGGTAAGAATGTTTAATGCAGGTCGAACAAATGTCCACGCCGAGGCTCGGAGTGGTCGGGCTTCTGTTGTCACCGATGATTTGGTAAGGAAAGTTGATGAAGCAATTCATGAGAACAGACGCTTCACAATGGCAACTCTTTCAGAGGCATTTCCACAAATTTCACGTACTGTTTTGTTCGAAATTGTGTCTGACCGCTTGAATTATCGTAAACTGTGTTCCCGATGGGCTCCAAAAATGCTCGCTGATGGTCACAAAACAAAGCGACTTGGTAGTGCCCTGACATTTCTCACGCGGTACAGTGATGAGGGAGAAAATTTTTAAACCAAATTGTGACAGGTGATGAAACTTGGGTGTGTCATTTCACACCAGAATCGAAACAACAATCGATGGAGTGGAGACACACTCATTCTCCGAAAAAACAAAAGTTCAAAGTGACAATGTCATCACAAAAAGTCATGTGCACTGTCTTCTGGGATAGGAAAGGCGTTTTGCTGACTGAATTTCTTCCCAGAGGTGAAACCATTAATGCGGCACGATATTGCGAGACTTTAACAAAACTAAGGCGTGCCATTCAAAAGAAACGAAGAGGAATGCTCAGTAAAGGAATTGTGTTGCTCCATGACAATGCTCGGCCCCATACTGCTGGTGTCACTCAATCGTTAATTCGACAGTTTCATCGGGAGCAATTCGATGACCCGCCGTACAGCCCGGACTTGGCGCCGTCCGAGTATCACTTGTTCCTGCACATGAAGCGCGAGCTTGGTGGCAAGCGCTTTGGATCTGACGATGACACGAAAAATGCTGTGGAGTCGTGGTTATCGAAACTGGCGGGAAGTTTCTTTGACGATGGTATACAAAAACTGGTCATTCGCTATGACAAGTGTTTGATCATTGGCGGAAACTATGTCGAAAAATAGTTTAAGACATGTATTTTCATGTAAAAATAAAATTGGATTCGAAAAAATTGTTTTACTATTTTTTTTTTTTTTTTTTTTCAAAACGATACTTAGTTTCCGAATACGCCTCGTATTATTTCGAAATACCCAGCCGCGGTAAGATAGCTTCCCCGCAAAGCGGGCTTAGGGTTGCCAGAAAATGGCAAGGGAAAGCAGGGCTGCCAGATTTGGAGCGAAATCGCCCATTTGGCGACAAAATTGGCGCTATGCCATACACGGATGGAGAACATTTTAGAATGAGTTCTTACCGGTTTGGCCCAGAATGTTTTCGAAGGCAGGCCAAAAACTATATAAATCCTACCTGTACGCGAAGTAGCAGTGTCTCGTCAGTGCATCGTGAGTTTTATCGTGATAAGTATCTTGAGTGTTCTGAGCTCCGAGAGTGATCAACAGAGTCGGGTGCAGTAATTAGTGTTTTGCAATGAAACTGTCTTCACCGTTATAACCTGATAGCCGGAAGGCTGTGTTGCTGTTGTTTCAGCGTGTATATCTTAGTTTTTCGACGATTGTAACGTGTCTTTGGAATTGTCCTGTGTAATACTGACGAATAAATTGTGTTTTTAATCTTCCTCAAGTGTTGTCATCAATCGCTCTAAATCCACGAACTCGTAGAAAAGCAACTGTAATAAAGCTCATAATTTAAAACACTAATCTTGTTTCGCATAATCTACATAACTTGAGGGGCTTATAATTCGAAACTTATGCTTACGACTCGGCAAAATTTGAACAACAAACCGTCTTTTTTCAATAATCAGGTTATTGCATTTACGAAATTATTTAGTTGTTTCTTTTCACTCCCTTTTAAAACTATTATAGGTTCAGTAAAATTTAGTTAACTGAAGTATCATGAAGTATCAGAATTCCAGCATTACATTTTAAACTTAAGTTGGAGTTATTTGTATTAAACTGTGTGGCACATCATGTATTTGTGATTCTGATATCTGAAATCTATTATCTATTTATATGCTGAAAAACATAACATGCTTTGTGTTGTAAATGACTTAAAGTTATATATGGATGCGCATATTATTGGCTAGCAGTAAGTTGAACATTTACTTTTCAAATAACTTTTAATGAAATTTATTTAAAGTATTTCCAATACTAATAACAAAAATTCTCTCTTTAAGACGTTGCCATGGCTTTTCTTTATTTTTAATAGTTAATGAAACGTCAGAAGATATTTAAAAGTTAAATGCGTATGAAATGCAGTATTTTAAATAAACAATGAAACGAAGAGCCAAAGAATATGAAATTGCACTTGTTTTTGAATGAAGATTAATATTTTTTATTTTGGTTTATGTTATTACTTTTTGACTAATTTTACATTTTTTAACATATCTGTGTATATGCCATTTGTGTGAACACTGCAGCTTTCATACAAAGCACAACACTCAATGCATCATGGGATAGGTGAAGTAGCAGTATGTGAAAGTATTCATAGAATGACTTGAGGTGAAACACAAGTGATATCCAGCATTTGAAAAATATTCTTTTTTATTACACAAAATGAAAATAGAAACTGAGTGTCAGATGCTTTCGACACTCAATTTCGAAACACTTTGCATACGAATTAATAACTGATTAATAAACGTAACATATAGTCTATTTCAAACCTTAAATCATAGATTTTTAATACCTATAAAAACCTATAAAAACTGATATCTCTATATAATATAATATTGTCCATATCTTCAATGCTTCTGAACTTGAAACTACTAATGAAAGTATCTTAATTAATTTCCCTTGATAATTTACTCCAATAACGTCAAATTTCAAGTAATGTTTGGAAAAGTCCGGCTATCTGTTATTTTTTTTTTTTAGATAACGTTGCAGGCATGAATATTTTTTGCATGTTCGACCTACTATTATTTTAACAAAGGAGCGATTGCTCACTTGAAAGCACTTGGAAGGTTATTTTTAGTATCATAAGCATTCATTTGAAAGTAAAAATGCGAAAATAGGCCACATAAACAATCTCTGTAGCGTAGATTGATTTACTTGAAGATAACTTTTTCATACTTTAGAACGAAGAGGGTTTTATCTTCTATCAAAAACGTACTCGTATGCAATAGATAAGGCTTAAAAAACGATGAACTTTTACTTTCATAGAAAATAACTACCTTTCAAAAGCTATAACTTTATTTATTTCACTTTTAACTACATGTAAATTAACAAATAATAAAATAATGCATCAAAATAACTAAAGTAATTTTAAAATGGTTCTTTTCTAATGAATTCATTTTCAGAATTTACAAGGAAAGGGTACATTATGTCATGTCATAATAACTAATTTGTAATACTGTTTATTAATTGTTCAAAACAGCACAAATATAAATTTACAGAATACTTTTAGTTTTCTTATTATCGAAATAAAAATTTATTGGAAAGGACATATTTATCGACTACAAATCGCAAAGCAATCCTTCGTCATATATGTCGACATTTCTGTGAGGGAAAAAACGGAGGATATTTTAGAGAACGTTAATGATTTTTGTAAAGATTTTCGTAAACAAATTTATTTTCGTGCTGAAATACTGTTCATCAAATTTAAAATCTTTATTTACATATATGAAAGTTTGAAAAAATACATAGATAATTGACTAGAATGATATATACATGATTTAATTGTTATCAGTACATGAAAGAATGAAGTAAAACTTTGATTTATAACGGCACAGAAAGTAGAAAGCAGTAAAAAAATTCTGGGTAAAATTTAGTGACTGAAGTTAATTTGTTCGTCGAGCTTATGAATGGAACAATTTTATCATTTAACAATTATTAACTTATATGGTGTCATTATATTCGTATTTCACAGTAAAGCTCAATGAATGCTGTCTCGGTGGCTACCTCCTATAGACGAAATTTTTAAAAATAAACTGAGAGAAATTTTTGTTTCTTTAAGACGAATATCTTTACAGATGACGAAAGTCATCTAGAACCATCGATGATAATTTTAGATAAGTTTCAGGCACCCTGACAGTTAACTTTATTCTGCTGCAACAAAGTAACCAAATGTTACGATAAACAATATTTTCACAGAAAATACTGAGGGTATATTAAACAGCCGAAGTAGTGCTGTCTAGTTGACGAAAGTGAACAGTATCCAATACATTTCACCTGGGGTACAAAATAAAATATTTTTGGTGCCTAAATTTTATATAAAACAGTTGGTGATCTTACTGTCTTTATGTAACTGAAGATTTGTTTGAAAATACATATACTAGAGTTAAATAATGAGTTAAATGAAGTTCTACAGATAATATATTCCTGTTTGCTGTATTAAAATTGCATACATAATTATTTGCTGGTAAAATTTTCCAATAGCATTAAAGTCGGTTAAGTCTGCATGCAGTTTAGATTCTTGAAAATTATTTATAAAAAATGACTAGAATTGCTGTTAGAAAACGCAATTTTCCTAATCTACACAAAAAAGCTGCATTAAAAGATTATCATTCTAAATTATATTTATACATTTCTTATCGCAATATGGAAAAGTATATATAAAATTAATTACATTTTCTAATAAGTAACTCAGTTTTTAAAAATTTATAAAATATTATGTTTATTTTAAAGGATCATATGAAATATACTTCGTTTGGGATAGAAATTTTTAAAATTTTAGCTGCAGATAAATTACAAAATCGTAAATTAAGAATTTCATCGTGTTTAACCAGAAATGCAAGTTGTTGATTTCTTTTCATTTCACAGTTTCTGCAATGAATCTTCCGGGCTACAACGGAAAATATCAGTTTTAAAAGGTAGTACTTGAATTAACAATTTCTAAATTATTATTATTATTATTTTGCATTTTCGGAGAGTATAATTTAATAAAATGATTCTGTTTAAATAATTTCTTTCACACGTAAAATTTTTATTTTTAATGAAAGGAAGCATTTTCTGTAAAGTAATTTGAAATCCTCAAAGACTGATGCATCTGGAGCATAAGATTTTAAGGAGCTTTTAATTACCTCTCTGCTATAAAAATACACAGTTCTGTAAACTGCAGAAACATTTCTGAGATTATAAATTGCGTAAATAGGTAATGTGCAAAAGAGTGTTTGGTATATTTTGCTAAAAATGATAAAATAATAAATAATAAAAATATAATAAAATTTTTTTAATATTGATTTTCATCCCTGTTTGTTTAATATCTCACAACAAGCAATATCTGAACAACTTAAGAATTTTGTGTCTCCTAGAGTAAAAAATAGAATCCGTGGTTTTATCAATTACTAAGTTTATCAGGTACAACTATGAAGTGTGTTTGTTTTCTGAAAGCTTTCAGATCTTATATTGCGCCCAAAGAGGGTTTTCTTTACCGTTTTGTGTATTTATTTTGCTTATTAAATATCATGTTCTTCACACTTAAAACATAAAATTCAATTCAACAACAACATCACAAAATATTTAAAAGAGCTTATGTTTAGAATTCCGATACATAGTTTCGCGTGCTGGAGATAAAATTGTTTTAATGTTTTTTTTTTGTCTTTTTTTTTTCCCGAACAGTGTTGCCATTGCTCGCTTTGAAATCGTTGAGCTTGTGAATCAAAAATTCTTTAATGTTTGGCAAAATATGAAATAGATAATAAAATAAATTTCAAATTCCAAATCTGGGCTTCCAGATGTCCATATTCGACTGGAGGACTACGTTATTCAAAATTTGATGTTTTTAGGTACCATTGTTTTTTCACAGTGCGAGAAACGTACATACATTCATGCTGATTCTTCATTATTTAATTTTTTTAAATATAATGCTGGGCTGTAATATTTGGTGGCAACAATTTGAAAAGTGAAACCCCGTTTATAGTGAACCAACGCAAATGCCGAAATGAAATTAATAGCCCTTTTCTGCAAATTGCCCCTTTGGGCTGACAAGTGTTTGATCAAAAATAAGCTACGAACTTCTCCGGTATAGAGGTTGAAATCATTTGCTGTATGTTTCGTCCATATTTGCTCGCCATTGGAAAAAAAAAAAAAAAAAAAATCATAGTTTAAGTAGTAAATCTTCAGTTGACGATTTTTATTTTCATTCTCTTTAACTCGGTTTAAGCAGAATCTGATAGCGTACTGGCATTACATAAAATATAACATTAAAAAAATTTTAATCTAAAAAACAGGGGACAGAAAAATGAATCTTGTTTTCGATGTATGGAAAGAATTTTATTTTAACTATACAATTTTTATGTTAACACTACTCAAACCGAGAGAAGTTAGACATTCAAGTTTTATGTTAATTTTATGATAAGTTGCTAATATGTTGACTAAAAACAACTGAAAAAATATATGTTAATAATTTAAATAGTAATTTAAAACATGACCATCATCAAAATATGAGCATTTCATATATTCATTATTGAAGCACATACATTATCTATATAGAAATACTTTGAAAATTAGCTGTATTATTATTATCATTTGAAAAATATACTTAACGAAAGAATGACATTTACTACTGTCACAGAAAAAAAACCCAGCATATTATTTATAATTACTGCTAACAACAATGAACATATACTTAAGAAAATAATAATATTTTTTTCCTATGTTTGTCAACTAAAGTACAAAAATTATTAATACCTGAGTCCATGTAATTTCGCAGCCCATCGCTAGCATAATGATGATCAATATAGTGAGGAGCAAGTAATCGATGATAGGCTTAAATTCTTTATTTAATTGCAGAATGTCCTCCACTAACTCAATAGTTTCATTAAAATCATTTCTTGAGTAGTTGGTTTTTGCCATTTCGGTGCTCATCATAACCAAAGCAGCGGTGTTATTGGTAACTTCCATTTAACCTAATCAACTGCTCTGTGAATAATAAATGGTGAGTTTACTAATTAAAAAGTCCCTAGTAAGTGATAACTCCTTTCTTATATAGAAGATCCCTTGAAAGTGATTGCACAAGATTCTAAAACCCTTAACTTACATAACTTTTAACAGATAAATAAATCAATGCAATTCTGCGAAGAGGGTCAATACTTTGTTGTATTCGGTCCATTTTTACGACCGAACTTTGCGACCCTTTATGTCATAAAATCTTTCAGACTTTAAGATGAAAACTAGATGCGACTAGATGTAAAAAAAAAAAAAAAAAAAAAAAGGTGAATGATAAACTCTACCCTTCTGTTCATTTCCTTTTCTCCATGTTTGGATCTCTTGGAAGGAATTTTACCGATGTCATCGAATAAACATGATGATAAGGACCAAAAACTAAAAATAATAATAATTTCATGTGCGTACTTTTTCGATATGATAGTTCTGGAAAGATATCGTTTTGTTTAGTTGCATCGGATGAATCGATGACATACCAATTCCTAACACATCGTTTCTTCCGTAATAGATAAAAATATAACTGAAATTGATATAAACTATTTATAAACACAGAAGTTTGAACTTTTATGCATATATTAATATAATGATAAAAATTTAGAGTGTTAACTAATTAATTAAAAGAAATTAATCTATAACTTCGTATTATTATTAGCCTAAAGGGCGTTAGCCCAGAAAGAATATTAAATTCGTTTTGGCATTTTGCGTTGAAAAATTTAAATGTCCGTTTCATTTTTCAAATCGTTGCCACCAAATATTATCGCCCTGTGTTATGTTTAAAGAAATAAAATAATGAAGAATCTGCATAAGTGCATGCATATTTCTCGCATTGTGATAAAACAACGGTACCTAGAGCCATCAAATTTTCAATAACGTGATCTTACACCGAATATGGTCATCTGGAAGCCCTAATTTGAAATTTGGAATTTGTTTTATTATCGATTTCATATTTTATAACATTTTAATGAATTTTTGATTAACAAATTCAGTGATTTCAAAGCAAGCAATGGCAACACTGTACGAAAAAAAAAGAAAAGAATTATCTTCAGCGCTAGAGACTGTGTATCGGAAATTCTAAAGATATAACCTTTTAAAATTATTTTGTGATATTGCTGTTGAATTGAATTTTATGGTTTATGTGCGAAGAATATGATATTCAATAGATTAAAGTAACACACAAAACGTTAGCGCTCCTTTGGACGTAATATAAAATGCGAAAGCTTTCAGATTTTTAGTCCAAAGGGGCTTTGTTCCTGAAGTACTATTGTTTTCCTTTTGCGATTTCTCATTTTAAAATTATTTTGCGATATTGCTATTGGATTGAATTTTTATGGTTTAAGTGCGAAGTTAACAAAATGACAGTAATATGGTTAACAAATAAAGATACAATTAAATTATTAATAATTAAGAATATATATAGAATTATATTAAGAAAAATAATAGAACAAACATTTGGGAAATTTCCAAGCCTCATATCTAGTATAAACGACATACTTTTAGCCGGCCATATTTATATATTTTTCGGCCACAATTAATATATTTGTGTTTGCATTGATACTTGATTGCAATCTAGCCAAAATGTACACCAGAATCCGGCTGCCGTATATTATTACTTTGTTGGTATGCTGAATTTCTACTGGGGTGCAGCGAGTCCTAAATTTTATGAATTTAAGCACCTCTTCCTTTCACATTTGAAATCATTTCATGTTCAACCTTCCATTTTCAATCATTTAATATGTTGAAACTATGCATAATCTTGCAAAAAGAGCCATTTATGAAAAAGAAGAATTTTCCAAGCAAGGAAAGCAATTGATTTGTTAATGGCTTGTGTTAATTGTCACCAGATTTAAAAGGAAAAAAATCCGTGTAGCTTAACTATCCGTGCAGCTTTACGCAAGTTGCTGTTTTACAATATATTGTTCCAAGTATAAATCAAATTAATAAAATCTAATTTTCAATCAAGAAATATACTTATTACTATATTCAACAATCTAATTGTCTAATTTAAAATTCTATACTGAAACAGAAAAATAAGTTTATTCTCTAATGAGAGTAACATAATAATTATAATAACATAATAATCGATATTTTCAGATAAAATATAGAAAATATTAACTTTATTATTAAGGACCATTTTCTTCGCACTTTACGCCACATGTTGTTTAACACCAAAATCTCACGATCGTTAAACAAAATCTGACATAGATATCTCATTATTTTAATATATGTTTATTTAAATCAATGACATTAAAAAGTAGGAAAAAAAATTAAGAACTGTGTTTATTGCTTTTAAATTTCTTAGTTTATTATTCAATAACCTTCTAGATTAAATATAAAAGTATCTTAGCCTTTACTGAATGACAACACGATGGGGCATGGGAGATAAAATCATTTTATTTCTGACTGTGATAATACATTTGCTTTCACAAAACTGAGTTTGGCAATTAAAATTGAAAGATAAATATTTTGCATTTTTCCGAATGACAGCAGTCTCGAGCGCTGGAGATAATAATGCTTTATTTTGAATATACCAAAATATGTTTTATTTCGCATATGCCACTGATTGCTTTCAAACTGTTGTGACTGCCAATTTGACCGTAGGCAGAGCTGAAGTGCATAACTTGATTTTGGATACTTTGTGACAACCTTGTTGTTGATTTTGTTAATAAAATTCATTAAAGTTTTGCAAAATATGAAATAAATAATAAAACAAATTCGAAATTCAAAATTTGGACATCCAGATGCACATGTTTGGGTGGAGGACTACGTTATTCAAAATTTGATGACTCTAGTTACCGTCGATTTTTCAAAATAGAGATATGTCATTTATGAAAATGATGACTTTTTTTTATTAAGTAATAAAATTCGAAATTTCAGGTCTGCAGATCTGAAGTTATATTACTTATGAACACTTTTATGATCAACTAAATTTACAGTTTAGGATTTGATTATTTCGCAATTATGTAAACTCCAATTATACAAATTACCAATATTTAAAATTGATGTTATCTTTTATTTGACATCTTCTTTGCAGACGTAGTAACTTCACAGGTGTGACATTTATGGAAATGTTGACTAATTTATTGCTAAGTCACAAAATTCGAAATTTCAGAATTATGTTTCAGATCAAAGTACTTGCAGAGCAATGAGACCGAAGACATGACAGTCCACAAATAATGAATTACCGTGGTCTTGGAACAAAATTTTGGTTAAAAATTATTATTAAGTATATGAAACAACTGTGATGCCGAAAAAATATATTTCTATAAAAACAAAAATGTACATTTGCTCTTGTGGAGGAAGAAAAATTAAAAAATTACAGTTACATACACTTAAGCCTCTTTTGCTTCCTTATACGAAGGAAAGGAAGTATTGCAATCGCGAAAAATTTCGGGTATCAGATTTAAAAAAAAAAAAAAAAAAAAAAAAAAAAAAAAAAAAATGCTCTCGAATTCATTTGAAGGATGTTTTTTTCCGTGACATCTGTGCGAATGAACATAATTAAGGACTCTTTTTTTTCCAAAACGGATTGCGAAATGAATTTAAAAAGGATTCAAAAGAAATTTTTTTCGTGACGTCTGTATGTATGTACATACTTATGTATCTCATATAACTCAAAACCGAGCGTTGAAATTTTATATGTGTGACTTCTATAACATGACGTTGTGCACCTCCCTTTTTTGTTTCAATCGGCCGCATCAAACATATATAGACAAGTGAGAAGTCTAGAGCCAATTTCACAAAGAAGTGAAAATCAATACCATTAAATTTCAAAACTCCCTATAAATATGTAAAATTAAAAAAGTCAGAAGAATTAAATCTGACATTATAATTTTTATTTGTGTATGTGTCTTTGCATTTTTCTTTAAAGAAGTGACACTGCGTTCTTAGACGTAGACGAGTTCAAGATTTTCGGGTGGACTGTTATAATTAAGTAATTTAAAATCGTTCATCAGCTTAATTTGGATAACAGAAAAGCTGTGGTTTTAAAAAGAAAGGGGGTTCAGTTGAGTCTGCTGTTGATAACGTTATATCAGATTTGATTGCATTCCACTTCTTATTTATTTTTTGTGGTTTTTTGTATTTTTTGAGGTTTTAGCATTTTACAGTTCTTTAATTCTTCTGACTTTTGGTTAATTTTACATATTAATAGGGAATTTTGAAATTAAATAGTACTGAATTTCACTTCTTTTGTGGAATTGATTCTAAATTTCTTACTTATTGTCTATAGTGATAAATTTCAGCAGCATATTGCCTGGAACTTGGTATAATTTCGTTTTCAAATAAAAATTTGTGGTACTATATATATATGTAAAGTAAGAAGTTTAGAACTAAATGCTTCACAAAAACCAAAAATTTTGGTATTCATAATTAATAAATTTCAAATAATCCTATAAATGCAACAAAGAATTTAATAAATGTTAAAATTAAAACTTTTAAACAAGCAATACCCCAATTCAAAAAAAATTTCAATGGAATTTAAAGAAAAAAGAACAAAACAAAATAGGAATTCAATCAACTGCAATGCCACTTCATCAGAGAGGAATATTGAAATCAATTGAAATCTGTCTTCTACAATAATCTTTGCTTTTCTGTATCCAGAATTAGCCCACGAACCATTTCAGTGTATTTTAATTATAATAGTTTACCCGAAAATTCTGGCCCTTCCCCAAAGCAAGGGAAAAACAAAGTAAATGTTAATTAGAATCTTGTACTTTAAATAAAGAGAATTCTATTTTGTTTAAAGAACTGAAACGGGAAAAATTAATATACTTCAGTGAAAAATATAAATCAAAATTTTACCTTTAAACAATAGCATATAATCCAAAGAATTTTAAACTTTAGTGAAATTATAAAACTTAAGTGAAAATACTTGATTAAAACTCACAATAAGTAATAAAAGAAACATATTTATATTTTGTTTTAAAAAATTGTTTTGTAATTATATATGTATGTAGTATATATTGCCACTATGTTACCCGGCTTCACGAGCTCAGTGTTTTTTATTCTTATACGTTGACAAACTGTGCATATTTTGCTTTAAAAAGTGATTGAATTATGTTGTTCTTATGTTCCGATTAAGGTTTTTACACCTTTTAATCTAGGTGCAATAGTTGTAGAATTATCAAAAAT